ACAGCATCAGCATGTGATTACTCCGGGCCACTTGAACCTCAGGAAGGAGGAGTGTATGAGGAGGAATTAGACTTGAGGTCCAATAAAGTTATTTCATTTTCACAATGTTGGTCTAGGAACAATAAATCTCTTGCCACAGAAATCGCAGGAGCGGAACACAATTTATCACATTGGCCTGCAGCTTCATCATTATCCCCTTCATTGCTTTCCTCCCTAGAAATGGATTTAATGGAGGTGGAAAAGAACCCTTTACATCAGACACCACTCCTTCCTCTTCCACTATCTTCAGCCCAGTCATCCTCTACCCTAGTCTCTGGGAAGAACGACCCCCCCATATAGTTTTGAGGACGAGCAAGGAACGACATCTGCTAGCTCAGGGAAGCCCCTGGAAGAGGTTAGTGTCTCATCAGATTCAAATAAACAGCTGACTCAACAAATTGGAACTGATTGACTGTTTAAGGACTCTCCTTTGCCCAATTTTAAAGTCCTGTCCTGGAATATTGCGGGGTGGAGGAACAAAATCAATGATGCGGGTTTTCATCTTTATCTCAGATGTTTTGACCTTATTATTTTACAAGAAACTTGGATTCGTTCTGAAATTTTTTTAGAGGACTAGAAAACATATGTCCTGGCAGCCTATAAAGCTAACACTAGAGGCCGCTGTGGTGCAGGCCTTGTAGTTCTTTGCTCTAACCAGCTTCAAATAGATATAACCCCACTCCAAGACTGTGATCAAATGGCCCAGGCATTTAGACTTAACCGTCAAGAGACTTCCTTAATAGTGGTAAATGTCTATATTTCACCTGGTGCAGATAAATCCATAATGGCCCTTCATTGGAATCGCTTAACAGCATTCATTGAACAGCTAGAATTGAGATTCCCTTCCACAAACCTGCTAGTTGCCGGCGATTTTATCGCTAGAATAGGGAAAGCCAATACAGATATTGCAAATAGAGTGAACTATGATGGTAATGAATCGAAACCTATGAGATGAGACTGTCCAAAGATACGTATGTAAATCAGACAAGGGTGCATTTAGTTCAATTCTGCATTAGGTTTGATCTCATCATTTTGAATGGTCAGCCCCCTTATGATTACCCAGGGGAATTCACCTTTGCATCACGCATAGGCTGTAGTGTAGTGGACTATATTCTAATCTCTCCCTTGATGGAGGACCACATAAGCTGCTTTGGGGTTGGAGATCGCCTTGAAAGTGATCATTTTCCTTTAACCTTGACTATTCAACGGCAGCATCCCCTGAAATGCCCAATAAGCACTACCTCCACTCTATCTCTGGGGATAAATAGACTGCCTAAAATTGTTTGGTCTCCTACTGTTGCAGAAAAGGTGACCAATCTTTTGGATCCTAACATCTTAGTAGAACTTAATGTAGCTCTGAGTCAAAATGGAGATGTTACCCATGTTTTTCAGGTGTATGATAAAGCTATTAGTTACTTACTGGAATCTCTTGGAGGTCAATTGGTGCCTCGAAATTACTGTAACCAAAAAATACAGTTGGATGTTTTTGTTTTTTTAATATAAATTTTTATTAAGTTTTTCAATTACAAAATAGTATAATAACAATGTAAATATATCAGCATTGCATACATCATCATAATAAACTTCATTAACTGAACATTCAATAACAACAAACTAACTTCTAACAATAATGATTTAATTCAATCTTACTGGTGTTAGGCGTCCTAGAAAATAGCAATTATTTCCTTATACCGCTGTGGAACAGAAGAAAATGAATTTATGGATTTATCTATTGTTGCGTCCACAAAATCAACCCATTTTGCATAAAACATTAACTGATTTTTGTAAGTATTAGTAGGTGGTATTAGAGACATTATTTTTTCCATCGCATAATATTCCCATATTTTAAGATACCATTGGTTTAATGTTAAAGAAGAAGTGCTTTTCCAATTAGCAGCCACCACTACTTTTGCCGCCATCAAAAGAGTTGAAATTAGCTCTTTACTCAGTGGAGGAATGTCAATATCGTGCCATAAATCCAAGAGAAATAGGTCTGGGTGGAAGGGTATATTAACCTTCATTATTTGTCTAATAGTGTGTGCTATAGTTATCCAAAATTGCTTAATTTCCTTACAAAACCACCAACAATGTATGTAATCAGCTGTTTCACCACATCCTCTCCAGCATAGGGGTGAGTGTTCTGAATTAATTTGGTGGAGTTTCAAAGGTGTATAATACCATCTGAGTACAATTTTGACGGCTTGAGCTCTTATATTTAAGGATCTGGATGTCATGCTCGGCGATGACCATATTTTTTCCCATACAGAATCTGTTAGAGAGGTTGAGCAAAACTTACTCTATGCAATGATTTATTCCAAACATAATTTAAAAATTTATTCTGCCAAAGTTTGATTTTTTCCAATGGTATTTTAATGGGGATTGCTCTGAATAGGTATAAAAATTTGGGGAATATAAATGTTTTTAAAATTTGAATTTTTTCAATCCAATTAAAGAGGGGCACTGAAGGCCTTGTGTATAGCTCATCTAAAGAACCGGCTATATCGGCGTGATTGTGTTTAATTATATCTTTCAAATTTACCGGGATTCTTACACCTAAATATTTCCAACAGGACGTAGTCCAGCTGAACGTGAATTTACTTTGTATATAGTGTTTATCAGAATCCGACAAATTTATAGGGTATATGATAGATTTGGAATAATTAATTTTGAGGCCAGATATTGTGCCAGTTGGATGGTTTGATAGCGAATGCTATAATATTAAATACCAAATCCAATCTATTTACAACCTTTTTAGGGAATATAACTGGACTCACCTTCCAGATGAGTATTTCAATTTTAAAAAACAGTTACGTCAAATAGTTAAGATAAAATATAAAGAGCACACTGGGAAACAATGGGCTAACCTCCTTCAGGCTACATTGTCAAAATGACTCCAGGAAATTCTGGGTGTTGGTGTCAGATAAACATAAAATGAAGAGTGCCCAAATAAACGCCACCACCCCAGTTCACTGGTATGATTATTTTTTGAAGCTGTTCTATGATAATAATATAACTGCCACTAATTCCATTAACTACATGGTGTCAGAATTAGATGATATTCCCCAATGGCCTCCAGTGAGACCAGAGGAGGTTATTCCATTCATTGAACAGCTAAAGCCAAGAAAAGCCCCTGGCCCAAACACAATTCCACCTGAAATAGTTAAAATAAATCCAGACTGGTGGGCTACCTTCTTGGCAGATTTTTTTTACCATAGTCGATAGAACGGGAATAATGCCAGAGTCTTGGACAAATGCAATGCTGGTTCCCATCTTTAAAAAGAGTAATTACCAGTTACCATCCAATTACCGTCTCTGTTATTGGGAAACTTTATGCTAGATGACTGGTTAACAAACTTGGATCTGGGATGCCAGAACAAGGAATTCTGGATCAAGAACAAATAGGTTTTTGTAAAGGGGAATCCACCCTAAATCACTACATGACTCTTATGCACCTTGTTAATAAGTATAAGAGGCAAAAAGGTGCCAAAGGTGCCAAAGTATAGGCATGCTTTCTAGATCGTCTATGGGAGAAACTTAAGTTGATGGGGAACCGAGGCTTCTACATTTAATAATGAAGTTTCATCATAATACGACATGCCAAGTTAGGCTTAACAGCGTTGGTGATCTAGCTGACAAAATTCCAATTAATATAGGATCCAAAAAGGGCTGCCTTTTAGCACATTTAGCCCAGGATCAGGAAGGGGTCAATAAAAACCATTGAGGGACCAGGCCTTATGGGCCCCATCCCATGGTAGCTACAGGCCTGGTTCATCTTGAGGATTTACACTGGTGTAAATGTTGACATGGGGGGGGCGCAGTGACTCAGAGGTTAAGATGTTGAGCTGCAGACCAGAAGGTCTGTAGTTCGGCAGTTCAAGACCCTAGTGCTGTGTGACAGAGTGAGCTCCCATCTCTCGTTCCAGCTCCTGCCAACCTAACAGTTTGAAAGCAAGAAATTGCAAGTAGATAAATAGGTACCGCTTTGGTGGGAAGGTAACAGCGTTCCGTGTGCCTTGGCGTTTAGTCATGCCGGCCACATGACCACAGAAACATCTTTGGACAGCACTGGCTCTTCAGCACCGCCCCCTAGAATCAGATTTGACTAGTTCTTGAGCAAGGGAAACCTTTAAATGCTGACATAATGGTAATCATACACTGGATTGAGTACTGCCCTATCTAGCCACAAATCTAAAGAAAATATTACTGACACAGAGTGTCAGCAGCATCACTTGCTTTTAATGTCTAGGATCCTGTGAGATAGAGGGAGGTTTCTGTTTGGGAAAACTTAGCATCTGAAACACTGCTGGCTGTGTCAGAATCTATGTTTCATTTCTCGCATTCCCCCGGCCCTTTTCCTAGTGGGTAGGGAAATGTTTCCAAAGTTAGTGCCTGTGTGTAGGCAGAGGACTGCTGCCTGAAATTGGTTGGGAAAGAAATTGACCAGCTTTCATCAAGGAAATTGACCTCTCTGGTGAAACAGGATGCTGGACTAGATGAGACCCTGTTCTGATCTAGCAGGGCTGTTCTTAGGTCAGTTTGGTGTGGTGGGTAAGGAGCAGGAACTCTAATCTGGGAGAACCGGGTTTGATTCCCCACTCTTCCACATGAAGCTGGTGGTGTGGCCTCGGTTCAGTCACAAGTTCTCTGAAGAGCTGTTCTCTCAGCCCCACTTACCTCGCAGGGTGTCTGTTGTGGGGAGCGGAAGGGAAAGGGATAGTAAACCGCTCTGAGACACCTTCGGGTAGTGCAGGGCGGGGTATAAATCCCACCTCTTCTTCTCCTTTATGAAATGCTGATAGTGCACGCCTGCAATGGTTAGGGCGGCATTTGGCGAAATGGAGAAGGGGAAACCCAGGAGACTGACCGCCCTTGTTTTCACTACCTCTTTGTCTGTTTCCTTCCCTCTCTCCCTCCCTCCCTCTCTCGTTCTCCCACCCTCGTGATCCCAGAATCGGCGCAGGATGGCCTCACCTCGGGTGCTGGCCTTGGTGCTGGTGGCGGCTCTGGGCCTGGGTGAGTGTCAGGTAGGCGCCGGCGATGAGGGTAGGAAGGAGAGGAAGAGAAGGACGTGGTGAGGAGACGGAGTGGAGAGGGGAGAAAGGCTGGTCCTGCGGAGACCCCCCCGAGGTCGCAGCAGCCCCAGATCCCCGTGTCTAGAGCCCGCGACTGGGCTTGAGAGGAGGACGGCGCGGGCAGGAAGCGGCCGCTCACTTTGGGCTGGGGGAACGCGGGATACGACGCGAGGGGAGGGCAGCCCCGGGTGACGCTGCTTCTTCTCCAGCGGAGGATGTCGAGGTGTCAGAGAGCCCCGCTCTCGGAGAGGCGCCTGACGCCCGCGCGCCCCTTTCCCGGGGGCTGAAGAGGGGCCTGGGGGGCCAAGAATCGTGTCATGATGGCGGTCCTTTTCATAGGGACTCAAGGCGGATTGCACAGAGTGAGTCATGTAGGCTCGACAAAACGGGACTTTCAAGAAACAACGCACTAGGATTGTAGAAGTCTGGGACTACCAGAAAGAACGGAGGCATAGCATAAGTATTCACCAGACATGACAAAATAGGATCCTACTTACAATAATCTGTATGCAGCAGTTATAGACCCGTCTCTCTAATCATTTATCCAAATAAGTGTGCGAACTATTTTGTGCAGTGCAGAAAAGCCCTTTGGAATAGTTCAGTTTTGCATAATTTTGAAGAACCCCCAGGGAGCTTCTTGGGAGGAGGAATTAAGGCATGCCTAGGATAGTTTTTCCTCTGGCTCATTATTTAAGAGGTGACTAAGGACAACCCAGCTGTTAGAGCAGGTAGATAGAGCTAGTAGAGAAAGAGGTACTTTTCTCCCTTTCTCACAATACAAGAACTCGTGGGCACTCCATGAGATTGCTGAGCGGTCAGGTTAGAACAGATAAAAGGAAGTACTTCTTCACCCAAAGAACGATTAACACATGGAATTCACTGCCACAGGAGGTGGCGGTTACAAGCACAGTCGGCTTCGAGAGGGAACTGAATACACATATGGAGCAGAGGTCCATCGGTGGCTACTAGCCACAAGGTATAGATAGGAACTCTTGGTCTTGGGCAAGTGCTTTGGAGGGTGCTTTGGAGGGACAACAGTGGGAGGGCTTCTAGTGTCCTGGCCCCACTGCCGGACCTCCTGATGGCACCTGGTATTTTTGGCCACTGTGTGACAGAGTGTTGGACTGGATGGGCCATTGGCCTGATCCAACGCTGGCTTCTCTTATGTTCTCTTCAGTTCTCATGTTTTCTCTGTTTTTACTCTAAAATCAGGATTATTATACCGGGAAATGGCTACTTAATTTGCATACAAATAAGATCAACATTCAGATCTTACAAGTAAGATTGACATTTCACCATCAAATCTGACAAAGGTTGTGAAACAAGTTTTTGAATTTGGGGAAACTCATAACATATTTGGTCATTGATTGATATGACTCGTATGTGTGAATTCATGTGATGACATATTCAATGTTTTTTTTTTCCTCCAGTGGTAGATTTATTCCCACTCCCTCTTTTTTGCCATCAAGTCACAGCCGACTTAGGGTTGACCCCAGAGGGTTTTCAAGGCAAGGGACATTCAGAGGTAGTTTGCCATGGCCTGCCTCTGTGGTACAACCCTGGATACCCTTGAAGTTGTCCTTTCCAAATAGTAGCCAGAGTTTACCTTGCTTAGCTTTTGAGATCTGATGAGATTGGGCAAACCTAGGCTATCCAGATCAAGGTTATCTCATGCAGGGAAGAAGTATAATAATAATAAGAGGAGGAGGAGGAGGAGATTGGATTTATACCCTGCTCTTCACTTGGAGTCTCAGAGCGGCTAACAATCTCCTTCCCTTCCTCTCCCCACAACAGACACTCTGTGAGGTAGGTGGGGATGAGAGAGCTCTGAGAGAACTACCCTTGAGAGAACAGCTCTGACAGAACTGTGGCTTGGCCAAGGTCACCCAGCAGCTGCACGTGGAGAAGTGGGGAATCAAACCCGCTTCTCCCAGGTTAGAGTCCATGCTCCTTACCACTACTGCAGACAGGCTCATGGTATGTTGTGATGGCATGTTTTGATCCAATGTACTGGTTCAGAGTCCTTTTGTTGCTGGTTGTGTTATGCTAGCTGTATGGTGTGACACCATTGTTTCATTGTGTCTTGCGTTGGGTTCTGTGCTGATGCTTGTGGTGTTCTTGGCAGCCCAGGTGTCAGCTGTGGAGGTGTACACACCAAGCGAACTCAGTGTGAGAAATGGGACAAAGGTAAGGCTCCCGTGCACGTTCACATCCACAGAAGTGATCAGCAGTGCAGCTTCCGTGACCTGGAGCTTCCAAGCACAAGGAGCACCTTCTGCTGTGTCGGTAAGAGATGATGTTATGCTAGGTTTGAATGGGAATCATCGGCAACAGTGGATCACCAGTGCAATCCTGAATGTTCATTAAAGTTCATCTCTCAGTCTTATCTTGTCATCAAGTGATAGCTGACTTATGGCCACCCTGTTGGGTTTTCAAGGCAAGAGGTGCTCAGAGGTGATTTGCCACTGCCTGACTCCATGTCACAGCCCTGTCATTCCTTGGTGGTCTCCCATCCAAATACTATCCGGGACTGACCCTCCTTAGCTTCTGAGATCTGACGAGCTCAGACTAGCCTGGACCACGGGGCTGCATGATGTCTTTTGTGGGCTCTATAGCACTTTTGCCTTCATGGGCCCCACTCGGCTCCAGCCAGAATAATATCCACATTAAAAGTATTTTTGATACAACTTAAAATACTTTAACTTTTTTTTTGTTTTAGGCAAAAATTAATAGATTTTTGTGGGCCCTCAACGTTTCATTTTTTTTTCTGATGTGAGAAAAAAATTAAAACATTTCCTTCGACCCTAAAAGTTCATTTCTTCTTCTTCTGACTTGAAAAGAAATCACAACACTTTTGTGGGCCCCTAAAGGCACTACTGTGCCTGCTGTGTCTAATGGATATAGGTTGGCCCTTCTGGGCCATCTACATCAGAGCCCATCAAAGTCAATGGAATTAGAAATGGATAATTCTGCTCCAGACTTCTTTGTAATCTTTCATGGGCATTTGCTCTCCACTTTTGCTATTAGAAAAGAATGGGATGGATCCTGCCACCTTTGGCTGCCAAAAAATGGTTTCACTGGAAATCATGGGGGCTTCGCTGATGATAGCCACTGCGGTGGAGCAGTCAGAGTGTTAGACTAGGTCCTGGGAGACCTAGGGTTAAATCCTCATTCTGCTGTGGTGGCCTGGTGGGTGAGCCAATCACCCTCTCACAGGGTTGCCATGAGGATAATATGAAGAAGAAGAAGAAGAAGAAGAAGAAGAAGAAGAAGAAGAAGAAGAAGAAGAAGGAATCTCAGAGCAACTTACAATCTCCTTTCCCTTCCCCTCCTCACAACAGACACTTTGTGAGGTAGGTGGGGCTGAGAGAGCTTTCTTGAGAACTGCTGGTGAGAGCACAGCTCTGAAAGAACTTGTGACTGACCCAAGGTCACACCAGCAGCTGCATGTGGAGAGGTGGGTAATCAAACCCAGTTCTCCAGACTAGAGTCCGTGTCCCTAACCACTGCACCAAACTGACTCTCAGAAGAGGAAGAGGATGTAACGTCCTTTGGGTCCCCAGTGGGGAGAAAGGGAGAATATAAATGAATCAAATAAGAACAATGTGGGACAGGAGCCTATAGTAAGGGACAGAATTGGGTGACTGATCTAAAAACTTGCTGGATACAACCCAGTGCATATTTTTACAGCTTGTTCTGGTGTCACAGCTCAAATCATGGCAACTGAGTTCTGCCTGCCATCAAAGACAGTACTTCTATTTCAGAACCAAAATACTCCGTTAGAGGGGGAAAAGTCTTGATTGCTGTAATATTTTATTTGACTGAGCCCCCCCCCCCCGAAAAAAAACTAGCTCTTTTTTAAAAAAAGCAAAACAAATATCTACAAGGAGGGACTGGAATGCAAATTTCAGAATCAGATAGATTTTACTTGTAGAGAACAATGTTATCCTAATCTTATAGTTGCACTCTCCAGTATTTGAATTTTGTAAATATCCCAACAGTACCATTTTGTGGGCTCACTGAAGTTAATATGATGCATTTTATGTTGTCAAAACAGTAAAATAATTTTAAGTTTTGTAAGATAGTAAGTATTGCATATGTAGCAATATCCCAAATACATTCCAGCCCCCCCTCAAATGCGGCTAGAACCTGCTTTTCCTAAAAAGTAAAAACCCAGGGCTCTAGTCGGGAGGGAGCTCTCAGGTACGGAGCTCCGGAAGAGAACCTCTAGGGGGCGGGGCCGTCACGTGGTGAAGCCCCGCCCCCTTCTTTACCCCGCCCTCTGCTTCGATCCTCATTCCGTTTGGGAATGAGGATGAAGCAGGAGGGTAAGTAGCCGGGCCTTCTGACACACTTCCGGTGATGTCAGGGGGTGTGGCCTTCTGTCACTTCCGGCGATGTCAGGGGGCGTGGCATATGCAAATAAGTTATGCTAATGAGTTATGCTAATGAGCTCCGGCAGCTCTTTTTCTACAACAAGACCCCTGTAAACCTATATCCGCAATAAGGGACTGATATCACACTGCAAGGCACATTCCATGAGTAATTAGACTTGCAGTTTTCCAGCAAACTAATTTCCTTGAGATTTTGGAGAAGTTCAACAGATGTGGTTTTTAATATTGTGTGACCATTTTTTTCCTGATTGCAGTTCTTCTATTATTCTAACGGGAAGGCATATCCTGGAAAGGATGCGCCATTTAAGGGCAGAATCAGCTGGGCCGGAGACTTGTACAAGAACGATGCATCTATCAGTATTGCAGACATCCAGTTTCAGGACATCGGCACTTATATCTGTGATGTCAGGAACTCTCCAGATATTGTTGTCACACCAGGAGAAATCAGGCTCAGAGTGGTGGAGAGAGGTACATAGTCTGACTCTGAACAAGACTCTGCAGCCAATGACATGCCCTGTCACATAATTAATGGTTTCAGTGAAGTCTCTCCACTTATAATAAGGTCATGTTGGATGCTGTTGTATCATTCCCACTGCATTTTATGCAGACGGCTTTGTTCTCAAAATAAAAACAATTTTCTTTCAAATTAAAAACAAAATGAAATATAATTTACAAAAACCTCCCTATTCTCGATTAAATTTTTAAGGCTTGGCTCCATCAGTGTGCTTTTGCACACGGAAGGCTATCTGACCAATGGGCACAAATTTCTTGCCTCCCTTTCCGCCCAAAATGTTCCCTGAAAATTCCGTTCTCTGAGACAGGGTTCCCTCCCAAATAGCATTTCTGGAGCCATTTTGGGCTCCAGTGGGAGTGTGTGGGTGGGGAAATACTCTGGTGAATCAAGCCTAAGGGTGGCCACCAAAACCAAGTTCTGCCAGAGAGGTCCCTAAAATGCTTTCACGAGTGTCTGCATTCTAATTTAGAGATTTGCTAATAGGCAATGGCAGCTATTGGTGGCTGCACTTTGAATTAAGATCCTGCTTTTATGTGTCCCCATAGTCATGCTGACAATACACCCACCAGACCTAAGAACACCAGCTATACCAGCTCAGGTTCATTCACTTGTTCACCTTCCAGTGTTATATATAACTTCATAAGAACATAAGAGACGCCAATGTTGGATCAGGCCAAAGGCCCATCTAGTCCAACACTCTGTCACACAGTGGCCAAAAATACCAGGTGCCATCAGGAGGTCCGCCAGTGGGGCCAGGACATTAGAAGCCCTCCCACTGCTGACCCCCCCCCCAAGCACCAAGAAGACAGAGCATCACTTGCCCCAGAGCCCCTATCTATACCTTGTGGCTAATAGCCACAGATGGACCTCTGCTCCATATGCTTATCTAATTCCCTTTTGAAGCCGTCCATGCTTGTAGCCGCCACCACTTCCTGTGGCAGTGAATTCCATGTGTTAATCACTCTTTGGGTGAAGAAGTACTTCCTTTTATCCGTTCTAACCCAACCGCTCAGCAATTTCATGGAGTGCCCACGAGTTCTTGTTTTGTGAGAAAGGGAGAAAAGTACCTCTTTTTCTACCTGCTCTTTCCCATGCATAATCTTATAAACCTCAATCATGTCACCACTCAGTTGTCGTTTCTCCAAGCTAAAGAGCACTAAGCGCTTTAACCTTTCCTCATAGGGAAAGTGTTCCAACCCTTTTATCATTCGAGTTGCCCTTTTCTGCACTTTTTCCAAAGCTATATTTTTTTTAAGGTGAGTTAACCAGAACTGCACACAGTATTCCAAAGAGGTTGCACCATTGATTTATATAGGGGCATTATGATATTGGCTGATCTGTTTTCAATACCCTTCCTAATAATCCCAAGCATAGCATTGACCTTCTTTATTGCAGTCACACACTGTCTCGACATTTTCAGTGAGTTATCTACTACAACTCCAAGATCTCTCTCTTGATCAGTCTCTGCCAGTTCAGACCCCATCAATGTGTATTTATATTTAGGATTTTTGGCTCCAATGTGCATCACCTTGCACTTGCCCACATTGAACCCCATTTGCCATGTTGACGCCCACCTGCCCATCCTTGACAGATCCCTTTGGAGTGCCTCACAATCCTCACTGGTTTTCACCACCCTGAACAACTTCGTATCATCCGCAAATTTAGCCACTTCACTGCTTACTCCCAACTCCAAATCATTAATGAACAAGTTAAAAAGCAGTGGACCAAGTACTGATCCCTGCGGTACCCCACTGCTTACCACCCTCCACTGAGAAAATTGCCCATTTATACTCACTCTCTGTTTTCTATTAATTAGCCAGTTTTTGATCCATAAGACTTGTCCTTTTATCCCATGATTTTTGAGCTTACTTAGGAGCCTTTGATGAGGAACTTTATCAAAAGCTTTCTGGAAGTCCAGGCAAACAATATCTATTGGATCCCCCTTGTCCACATGTTTGTTCACCCCCTCAAAGAACACTAACAAGTTAGTGAGACAAGATCTTCCCTTACAAAACCCATGCTGAGTCTGCCTCAATGTCAGCAATGTCTGCTTCAAATGTCAGCAATGCCCTTCCACTCTCTACATGGGACAAACAGGTGAGTCCCTACAAACATGAATAAATGGGCGTAAATCTGACATTAAAAATCACAGTGTTCAGAAACCAGTAGGGGAACATTTTAATATTCCAGGACATTCTGATTTATTTATTTATTTTTATTTAATTTTATTTTAGGAAAACAATGGGGATACAGAAAAGAAAAGGGGGGGAAAGAAAAAAATGGTTATACCACATAACTATGTTTATCAAAGACAATAATATAGCACATAATATATAAAACAGAGAATAATTACCCTTTCATACCCTTCACTGTAATTTTAAGAGATTATCTATAAAATATAATAGTTCTTATTTCTGTTTGGGTACAACTCTATTCATCATTTAAGTTTTAAGTTTTGAATGTCATAACTAATCTGTTTTGACTACAACACTGGTTTCATCATTACTATGTATTCAGTATAACATATTTTCACCACTTCTACATATTCATTAGAACCTTTAATAGATAAGTAATATATCATGGTGTAAAGTCAAGTCTATTAGATACCTCATATGGAGAACCCATTTGTATTCAAGATATTACATTTGGAACAGATTTTAATTCTACTTCTATTTCATTATGATACATTTGTATATGATGGTGTGGACTTCAGATATCGCACTCTAAGTTTGTCTCCTGCTAGTGTAGCACACATAATACATATTCCATCTCTCCTCAAATTTCATAATAGACCAGTTTCTCAAATAGGTTGTTAATAGCTTGTTAATTTTGCCATTACTACATATTCAGCAAGTTTATTTTCCCATTCTTCTAAACATGGAGAGACATTTAGTTTTCATTATACCTGTTCTTTAAGGTACTTTAAGGTTCTGCATCCACTTAATCATACATTCATTAAGATCTGCTGATTCTAATCTTACTATTCTTTGTCTTGTCTTTTTAATCTGGTCCACAATCCAGACCAGACCTGCTGCTTGGTGATATAATTCTATATTTGGGACTGCTAAACCTCCTCTCTTTTTCTCAACTTGGAATATTTTGATGGTTTTTTTGCCATTCCACATAAATTCATTTATCTGTCTTTGCCACTTTTTCAATATTATTTCTTTTACAAGAGGTGGACCCGCGATACTCGCGGGGGTGGGGTGTGGAGGGAGGCAGAGCTGCAAACGGCGGCTCTAGTGGAGAAAAGGCCGTGAGGGGTAAGGGGTAGAGCGGCGGCTCTAGTCTTCTTCCTACCCATTACTTTCTGCCACGGATGCAGATACCGACCGCCACCGCCGACTCCCCCGCCCCCTCGCCGCCAGACACTTGCCCGGGAGCCCGCGCAGGAGCCCCTCGGCCTCCATGGCTAGCTGAGCCGCTGCATGTCACATCCGCCCCAGTTCTGGAAGGTAAGGAATTGCACCAGCCAGGCTGGGAGGAAGGCGCTCAGATCTGCTGCTTCTGGGGGCGGGACACAATGGCCATCCCGGATTGCCTGGCTCTCCGCCCACCCTTTCCCCCTCGGTGCATCGTGGGCTGCTTGGCCCTCGCGGTTTGCTCTCCTTTCCCCCCCACCCCCGGCTCCTTTTTCTCCTCCCCCCCGCTGGCTCGCCGCTTACCTTCCCAGCGGTGGCGGCATCTGCGGCGGTCGCAGAGCGTCCCCTGCGCATGTGTAGGGGACGCTCTGTGAGTTTCGGGGGGATTTAAACATCCCCCCGATTTTTTCCCCACCATTTAGGATTTTTGTGCACACGTGGGGACTGCCCCACGTGTGCACAAACCTCTCCCTGCCCCCCAAGTGCCCCCGCACAGACAGGGGCACTTCACTATTAGATATATAGATGTATGTGGGTAACATATGGAACAAAAGCTTTGGTTTTGGCAGCACATTCATTTTGATTGCAGAAATTCTTCCCAGCCATAAGTTTTTAAATTTTCCCATCTTAATAAATCTGCTTGTATTAATTTCCAATTTTTCTGGTAGTTATTTTTTAAAAAGATTACAGTTTTGCCCAGTCACATGTATTCCCAAATATTTAATAGGGTTGGTGGCTGTTGAGCACTTTGTATTCTTTATCATCTCTTCTTCTTCTTGTTGTGTTTAAAATTTCATTATCATTTTCCCCCTGTTAATTTTATAGGCTGATAGGGATCTAAATTCTTCAGTATGTTCAATTACATATTGCAATGATCTCTGGGGATTCAAGTCTATTAAAACCACATAATCTGCATAACTTTTCATTTTGAACACTTCATCCTGAAGTGAGCAGCAGCTGCTACTGTCTACCTAGGGCAGGCTGTACAAGCACATGCATTTTGTTGTTTGTTGGCACTAGTCTTAAATTGTGCCCCAGATTTTCCAGGTAGTTTTTGTTAATAAATAGTTCCCAGGTAAGCACAGTGTCCCTGCTGTTCCTGCAACACACAAGTGCCCATATGAATGGGAAAATGGCACATCAGGTTAAAATACTTCGGTTTACCTGAGCACCAGTTTATGATTTGATAGACTGGTTGACCTGAGTATTGTTGTCTTGGCTGCTGGTGTCCCCGGCCAATTGATACTGAAGTGCGGGATATTAACTAACTAAACAATGTGCCATCTTTAGAGGCTCCTTGGTGATGAGGCTGTCTAGTGAAGTGGATTCTATAACAAATCTGTCCAGGAGCCAAGCAAGCAGCAAGAAATTTCCTAATTTCTTGTTACCTTGTGTTTTCCTGTAAATCTAGAAACCTGTTTTGTTTTCTCTTTTTAGGGATTTTGATTTTTTTTAAATCAATTATATGGTTATAAAGAAAGAGAAATTTGAAGAGAGGAGGGGCAAGAAGGGAGATTCTGCAGAATTTCAGAATTTCACTAATTGTGAAATAACTTAGGGAACTGGATCTTAGAATGGCTACTACTTCATTAGTGCTTGAACTGGCACAAGCTATTATTGTCCTCCTCTCAATACGATGGCCCGTCTCCTTTATGCAGATATGCGCATACATGGACTGCCATATAAAAATCAGAGCGTTGGTCCCTCAGTGCCAATGTTGTCTACCCAGACTGGTAGCAGTCTTCAGGATGTTAGGTTCCTTTCAAATGGATTGAACCAGGGACCTTCTGCATGTCAAGCAGATGCTCTACTACTGAGCCATGGCCCCTCCCTTTGTTGGGTGGTAAAATTTGCCCATTTCTCTTGTCCCTCTTGTCAATGTGAAGATTCATGGTCTTGGACATGCCTTGCTTTTCTGCTTTAGTCAGGAAATTCCCTTTTACAGGCTTTTCTTCTGCCACTGTGCAATACTGTTGCTTCCCACAGCCAACCAGTAGGGGGTGTTTTACAAATAATATGGTTTCATTTACAAGTGTATTCTGTTGAGACTGCAGTGAATCCAGATCTGTTGGTGTGAAACAGCTCTATGTGTTTCAGTCTTCTCAACCGTGCAACTTCATACCCTCCTTAAGGAACTGCTCACACAGCTCTGACTCCCATGTGATTGCTTTTTCAAGGAGGGAGGGTTGGTTTATTATGAACTGAGCTTATGTCCTGGCAAGGTTACAAATTCTTCAATCACCTCACCTGCCTACACATCCCCAGGAAAAAGAGAGGGGGAGGTTAGAACTGGATGGGCGCCAACCATCACGTCACATATTGGCCAAATTCTTAAGTGGCCTGATCTTTGGGGGCAGATCACTGGTGTATTCAGTGGATTTTCATGTTCTCTTCCATCTCCTTCTGTGCACAGGTCATGACTATTCCAATCGAAGCATCATCTGTTTAGCTGTAGGAACTGTGATTCTCGTCCTCCTTGTGTTCATTGTCATTACAGATCATCTCTTCTGGAAGGAACAAAAGAGCAAGGTTGTATGATTTTTCTACTCCTTGTGTCTCTTACCTTTTAAAACAAGAAGGAACCGGAATTACAGATTACTTTGTGGGATTCCTAAAGGACACCAAATAATCACCTCTGACTGCTTTGCATGGCGAAGATCTTAGATTCAATGTTGCTCTTTAGAACCCCTGCTTTAAAATCTCTAGTGGTAGGAGAAGCGTCTTTGCCCAACCCTAGCTGCTGTGCCTCATGCTGAGGAGACAGCAGGTTGCCTGAGAGGAAAGTTCTTCCCCTCGCTCCAGATACACAAGGGCTGGTAGAAGGTTCAACAGCGGTGGGGGGAAATTCAGGTGGGGGTAGCCATGTTGATCTGCAGCAGCCGAACAAAGTTTGAGTCCAGTGGCACCTTTAAGACCAACAAAATTTTATTCAAGGTATAAGCTTTTGTATGCAAGCACACTTCTTCAGATACATTGAAATGGGAGCTACCACTACATACCTATAGGTAGAGGGTGAGCAGCAAATTAACATAATAAAGGTGTTTAACAGATGCCAGGACTAAACTGGAATAACCAACTTAATGTATATGGTCACCATTTGTTTATGTTTAATTCCAGAGGGAAACATAGTGAAGGAAAATAAATATATCAACATCAGAGACTGATGGGCAAATGTGGTGGGGAGAGACTGCCCTATATGCTCAATTTAAAAAGTAATTGATACGATACATCACCAAATCTGTGGTGCTTAAATCCAAAGATTGGAGTAATGAATGGATGAGTCAGATCATTTTACAAACCTAAAAAATGTCTCAGGTTTGCAGGAATTTTTTTTTTTTGAAATCTGAAGAAAAAATACATTGGGGATTAAAACTTCTGAAAATGATAGAAACAATACCTGCAGCTTTAAGAAATGAATGTCTTCAGTAGTTGTTGCTAGGCAACCACAATAGTATTTCCAACTTTCAGGCAGGGTTTTGTCAATAAAACACAGGGGAAGGGAGGGAAAGCTCTTTTCAGGACTGTTTTGGCTTTGAAGGTAGCGTTTATCAGGGTCAGGGGGGCAGTGTTAGCGGAAGTCCTCCGGAGGAGAATCTGTCCACTGGCCCAATACCATTTTATGTACAACGGGGGCACGTGAGTTCTATTACCCGTGTATCCAGAGGGCAGAATCAGACGAACTCTCTCTATTTCCCGTAGGAAGGAGACAACACACCTGACGTTTAATAATAATAATTGTTGTCTTTACTAAATATAGTTGGTATTCTCAAGCATACAACACAGATGCATTCACACATATACAAAAGATTCTGTAGGTACAGCAGTAATGGAAAGCAATAATAAACTGTGACCAACAGGGAGGTAACACAAAAGGATGCCGATTAATACTTATCTGATTCCATAAGATGGAGTTGATCTTCTCAAATGAAGAAAACAGGAACATAAGATCTAGCCAGAAGGATTCTACGCCACACTGATGGATTTATCCACTACGTGTGGGCTTCTTGGTTTGCGCATTCCAAGAAGGCTACGTGAATTACCTGTGGCAGAGCTTCAGTTGCCTAGGTGGGGGGGGAGTCTAGCTAGCTTTGGCTGCTAGCTGGTACAACTTAGTTACAGGGTGGGGTGGGGGATGGTTAGCTAACAAAGGACAAAGGTGTGCAATGCCTTATAAAACCTGCCTTAGGGGCTGGCCTGAGTGCCAACCTGGTCCGTTCCCTTCTCTATCTATTGGCTGTTGATAGGTGACGCATCTACCAAAAGGGGAGTGGGCATTAAGCCTAAACTTCAATGGGAACCATTTGGTCAGGTGTCAAAGTTGTATTGCCATAGTAACCTTTGAACTGCAGATGCTGGCCTGGTCCAGAAGGTAGTAAACAGGATGTTCTCTTTTGTGATTCAAAACCAGATAAGGGTTACATGTCATCTAGAAACTCCTTCATGGTGGACCAGTTGTTGTTTCCAAGAGTCCATGTGGCTGAGCATAATGGAGAATGTCTTCTTTGTCCCAAAGCAGGATGGGAAGGTGTGGGTGTGCGAGCGTGTGTCCATTAGCATGCCTATACAGGCAAAGCAGGCCCTGCACATAGCAGCTTCCAGGTGCAAGCAAGCCAAAGCAAGCAAACTCAAGGCACACAGCATTTCCCCAATCCCATACACACAAATGCAGAGACATTACAGACATACAAGCATCAGCATAATACAGATAAAAACACATTTTTACTTCCATCTGCTAACAGCAGCAACCACTAGTGACTGGTTACAACCTAAACTCCATGACTCATCCATTCTCAGCTGCTTGCTACTGTTCAACAGTAGCTACCCCATGAAAGGTAGTATGGTGCACCAGTTAGTTTCAGATTAGGATATGGGAGACCCAGGTTCAAATCACCACTCTGCTGTGGAACCTCACTGAATGACCTTGTGACACTTACACATTCTCAGCCTAGTTCTTCTAACAGCCAAGGGTAGATTGGACATTAAGAGCATCACGACACTTCCCAGTGGGCTATATTATTGTAAATGGGAAAGTGGGGGCCCTGGTCATCTCAGCAGGCAATTCCTACCAAGGCCAGGTGGTGGCAGTGGTTGAAATAAGAGGGAGAAAGAGAAAAGTCACTCTGGGTATCGGGGAAGCCAGCTGGGTGGTACCTGCCAGGTGAAGACTTTGGATCATCACTGGTACCCAGATGCCTCAGAGGTCAATACAGAATAGGACCTGCAAGTTACAGCAGGGCTGTTCTGTCACGTGCATCTAAAGGGCCTTCAGCAACATATTGGCCTTAGAATAGTTTTTCTTATATGTTTGATTTACATGTTTTGTGTCACTTGCTCTGTAAAACTAAGAGGAGTTTGAAAGATAGCTTTGTGTGCAGTATCCTGAACTTCGAGGAGAGGGAACGAAACATAGAGTACCACTAGATATACCCAACCCTTGTTAGTGCCAACTTGGCTCTTGGAATTCACTCAATGGTCTCCACCCCATCTTGGTATCAGATTTGCACCCGTGTGCCCATGTTGTTAACTAACTCAGAGTTGTGACCAATGCTCAGGGTTCATAGCAGGCAAGCAGGTTCAATAATGGCAGCCCATCTCAGCCCACCTGGGTACCCAGCTCCACCTCTAATGCAAATTTCAAGTCCGTACATCTCATTATGTTTCTGCTGAGTATATTTTCAGTAACATACATGTCAACCGAACAGTTTTGATGTGTGATATTCTTACAGGTGCTGAAACCTCTGGCAAACACGGAAAACAATCAAAGGTTTCCTAGTGACTGCTCCAGGACAACACGATTATTGTATCAAAATGTACGCTTGTGAACTGCCTTCAATTCCAGCCATAACAGAAGCATCTTTTTAAAGATATCCTAAATCAGCATCATCTTCCTTCTACATTATCTACCAACCACTAATATAGAGATGCTTTCCTCTCCCCCACCCCCCCAAGGATGTCAGGGAATTTTTGTTATGCAATCCAACAGGTCCTTGAGTGTCCAGTGCTTCATCTTTATGCCGAAAGCAGCTTTCAATTCTTTTCATTTAATTGTCTGGGCATGTTATAGAGGGAGAAAAATTGGACTTGCAGGAACCCCAGACTTCTGGACTCTCCACTTCTAGACACTGATCAAAATAAAAGTAGCAATTGTCATTTAAACAAGTTCTGAAAATGTACTTTGTTGGAATCTTTCTGTTTTAACACTGATATTTTGTCAATTAATATGATTTGTCAGATTTTATGCAACCAAGAGTCCATACTTGGTATAGAGACTGTTGTTTCCAGTACTGTGTAAGAAGAACCATGTTACAATTAAATATCTCAGACAGTACACTTGTCCTTTAGACATCTTAGTGGTACAATAACCTAATAAATATATCATACTCCATTTTGCACTGCATTTTATAATTTATTAATCCATGAAGATAGTATCTTAAGTCCTACTGGACTTGAATCCTGCTCTTTTATAACTCTGTGACCCTCCTTGTGTCTCAAGGAGAAGGAAGGACAAGAAGTGATATAAACAATTTTGATGAGGAAAACCATGCAAAGGGGCACACATCCCTGATCCATATCATTCACCCAGCCGACACTTGAGAGTGTACTGCATGTCTGGGTATGGGTTTCCAGTCATGCATCTGCAGTATCAGCTCCAGTTTGCCCCTAAGGGAGACTCTTGGATGATATCAGCAAAGAAAGCTTGTGGGTGGACCCAGCTAGCATGCTTACTCAATCTTACCCAGGCCTGCTCCTTAGTACAGCACCTATTCCACATGGCTCCCCCCCCCCCAATGCAAATTCCATGATCCCCAACATTGCCTTTTGGGATTGTCAAAAGGGACTTCCTCTCCCCTTTTCAACCCTGGAAAACCTGGTTGGATCCAACCCATATATCTGCATATACTGAGTTCAGACGTGTAGAGTGATCAGCTCAATAGTTTATTAGTGATTCAGCAAGTAGATAGAAGACTGGAAATCCCCTAGCCTTTATGCGTACAAAAGGTTACACCCAAAACACACCCCACTCCCAACGATAGGCTATTTACATTACATTGTTTCTCAGTTGGTTTACTCTAGGATCCCTGTTTCCTTACTGGTCCATTCTAGGATTCTAGCCTGCTTTTGTTATGCATCCTCAAGCTCTGTCCGCAGTAGGCATTGCTAAAGGATGGTCTCCGCTCTGGTAAAACAGTGGAGCAAATGCTGGATGCAGAATGGGCCTGTGTCTGTTCTGACAGAGATGCCACTTGAAAATCAGGGTCGGTTGGAGGTGAAAACAGGCTCTGCTTGACCTGCCATTGGGCATACTCTTCAATGTGTGGAGTCTGATGATGTGGACAAGGTCCTTGGAGATATGAACAAATAATTTTTTTAAAAAAATTATGCTTCCAGTATTCTGGCTCCTTGCCCACAATTAGCATTAAATTTGTAACTGGGGTGGTGGCCTTGGAAGTTTTTAGTGCCTCCTGGAGGAAAGAGAGATATCTGAGATATCTTCTGTGATGTGTTTCTGGCCCTTTAGCTTTTACTATGAATGTGTCTGTATTTACAAATATACCAACTTCTTGGAAGGAAACAATTATTACTGTACTTGCAAAAAGCAAGAGAAGGATTGTTAAATTCCTGAACCTTATTGCCCTATATAATTTTTGAACTGGGACTTTAAGATATTCACTTCTATTATTGCAATTAGGTCAGATAAGGAGATTACTAAATATGTTGCTGTAGGTCAATATGGATTTATTAGTGGAAAGGAAATATCACATGTAAATAGATTACGAAATAGTGTGTGTACAAAGAATAAATCCATCCTTTCCCCAGTATCTTTGGATGAGAAATGTACTTCATGGCTTGCTAAGAAAACACAGTAATCTTAGATTTGAACTATGTGAGCCAGTTCGGAGTAATGTGTCAAAGATATGGCCAGAAATATAGGGGAACAGTTCCTGGAGTTGACCAAAAAGATCACAGAGGATGTTGCAGCAAACATAAACAAAGCAAACCTGGCCTCTCAGGGAAGCATGCCAAGAAGGTATTCCAGAGACCCAGAATTGTTTAAGAATCACAAGAATGTCCATCTTCAGAGAAGTGAAGACATGGTTCAAGGATGGGAGTATTGGTTGAGGGCAGGGGTCATTTCGTAGAAAAAGAGGTGCAGGAGCTCATTAGCATAACTCATTAACTTAACTTATTTGCATATGCCACACCCCCTGACATCACCGGAAGTGAGTCAGAAGGCAACACCCACCGTTCAGGCTCCACTGGACTGTTTTGGATTGCCAGCTATTGGGGGGGGGGGATGTGCAGATCTGTCCTCGCAGAGGAGGGAGAGCTTGAACCTGAATAAAACTTGGTCTTAAAGGTGCAACTGGACTGTTTTGGGCCTGGGGGCTCTGTAACATACCTGGCTGCTTCTTGCTCTGACTGAGGGCTGCTGGGAGCTGGAGGTGGGGCTTGTTGCATGTGCCCACCCCCTGGGCTCTTTACTGCCGGAGCTCCGCTCCTGTGCGCTCCCGCAGGAAATGACCCCTGGTTGAGGGCAAAAAGATATCCATATGTACATGAACCTTATAATCACTATTTTTAAATAGACTTTGTTAAGGGCACTGAGATCGGGGATGCTCCATCGTCTGGTAGTTCCAGCCCCCCGAGCTGTGAGGTTGGCCCACACGAGATCTAGGGCGTTTTCGGTGGCGGCTCCTTCCTGGTGGAATGAGCTCCCGGAGGAGATCCTGGCCCTGCGGGACCTAGTGCAGTTCCGCAGGGCCTGCAAGATGGAGCTCTTCCACCAGGCCTTTGGGTAGGAGCCGCCGCCGCCGCCACCACCACCATCGCCACACCATCACCGTTGTATTGTCCTTCTACCAGACTCCATGGAGGTTGATTAGTCTGTTGCGCCGGGGACGCTTTTATTGTCAAGATCACAGGCAGCAAATAATCGCCGAATATTTGTAAATGGTATAGATTGTATAGACCGAAGCACCAGTTTTTATTGTATTTAAAACTTATTTTATTGTTTTAGTATTTATATGCTGTTAGCCGCCCTGAGCCACTGGGTAGGGCGGGATAGAAATCTCATAATAAAAAAAATAAAAATAAAAAAGGTAAAAAGTAGCAAGAATGAACTAACATTTTATATATTCTAAGAGCACATTTTAAGTATAGATAACCTTGTATGGGGTTGGAAGTTAAAAGATAATGAGTTAGCCAAGAATATGGGCACTTATCAAAGCCCTTAATGGTCAGGGACCAGCATACCTTCGGGACTGCCTTTCCTGGTATGTCCCCCGTAGAGCCTTACACGTGAGTCATCAAAATCTGCTGGGGGTCCCCAGCACCAAGAGCATCTGACTGCCCTGGCTCCAGTCTGGTGGAGCACTCTTCCAGGAGAGATCAGGGCCCTGTGGCATCTGGTACAATTCTGCAGGGCCTGCAAAGCAGAGTTGTTCTGCCGGGCCTATGGTTGAGGGCAGTATTGGGCCCCTAGCCTATCGGCTACAGTGAGTTCTGGCCTCCCCCTCCTCCTTCTCCCATCTTTTAGATTATTGTATATTGCCCCTCTGTGTGAATGTCTATGCCATCTTAAATTGGATAGTAGAGTTTTATTGTAATTGTTGAGTTCACTCGTTTTCCCCTATTGCTTCAGGGTCCCCTCCCCCCACAAAGTGTTTTGCTCTCTCCAGTAGTCCCAGAGAGAGCAAAGCACATGTGGAAAGGGGGGGGGGGAGACCCAAAGCAATAGGGAAAAACGAGTGACAAACGTGACAGTGCGGAATTGTGATGCCGCATGAAACTGGTTGGAAGAAAAATTGACCAGCTCCCCTCGAGAGAATGGGGCGCAGGCCTGCAAGGATTAGGACCCCATCGGGCTCAGCAGCACAGGCTGCAAACAGCAAGGATCGGCTGGGGGATCTAGTGGGACAAGCAGCCAATCAGAGCCGCACTTGCCCTCTAGCCCTCAGAGGAAGAAGAAGAAGAAGAGATTGGATTTATACCCCGCCCTTCACTTGGAGTCTCAGAGCGGCTTACAAACTCCTTTCCCTTCCCCTCCCCACAACAGACACCCTGTGAGGTGGGTGGGGCTGAGAGAGCTCTTGACAGAAACTGCTCTTTTTTTCAAGAACAGCTCTTATCAGAACTACTGCTTGTCCAAGGTCATCCAGCCAGGTGCAAGTGGAGGAGTGGGGAATCAAACAAGGTTCTCCCAGATTAGAGTCCTCTGCACTTAACCACTACACCAAACTGGCTCTCAGTGCGGGGATGGGAGTCCTAAGAAGAGGGCGTTTGGGGGAAGGCAGAATTCTGTGGAGCCTCCAGGTGGCTGGCCTCGCGTCCCCAGTCCAAAATGAAAGCGGGGGTTTCTCTTTTTCAAACGTGAGCGTTGACGCTCCCTCTCCCTCAGCGCTACAACATCAGACACAAGAGGCAGGATTTGGCTAAAGGGAGAAGGGAAGGGGGGTGGGATCTTGTCGACTGACAGCCTCATTCGCAGGCACTCTCGTTCTCACACGCCCACCCCCAACTTTGGGCGAGGATATAAAGCTGAGGGGGAAACGAGGAGGAGGCAAGAGGCGGCGGTCCCCAAAGCGGCACAGGATGGCTTCGGCTGGGTTGCTCGACGTGTTGCTGGTGGTGGTGGTGGTGGCGGCGGCGGCTCTTGGCCTGTGTGAGTGCTTGTCCGGGCTGCGATGAGAAGTCGGGGTGGGAAAGGAAAGCAGGAGGAGGTGGGGAGGAAAGCTGCGCCCCGCGCTGATCCCGGCGCTCGCGGGCAGATCTACAAAAACGGGGCTGGAGGCGGGGCAGGCGAGTCACTCGGGGCCAAGGAGGGGCAGGCAGGTCAATTGCAGCAGAAGGCAGTCGAAGGCAATGGTGCTCGTGTCGGGTGGATGGCGTTTAACTGGAGGGTTGAGGAGGGGATTCCAACTCAGCAGAAGCCCCTCCCGAGAGGCGCCTGTCCCCCCTCGCTCTTTTTTCCGGCGGGGATAGATGGGGGTTGTGCAGTGAGGCATGCGTCGTGATGGGGAAGACCGCACGTGTGAATAGAAGATTGCAAAGAAAAGAAGCCCAGGGCTGAACAGAGACTGTGGAAGGGCAGGTGACTTTCTGGCCTTTTCACTCCAAGGGAGGATAGGATTCGCGAGACACATAAATGCTGAACCCCCTCCCCCCCCCCCCCCTTGTGGAGCGCTGATCTCTGCAAAGAAAGGAAAGTATTAGGGCATTTCCCCTTGACAGACTTCCCCTGAGTCAAACCAGCTGGGAGATTGTAAAGGTAAAGCTTTCCCTTGCTCGAAAGGGAGTCGAATCCGACTCTAGGGGGCAGTGCTCATCTCCGTTTCCAAGCCGAAGAGCCAGCGCTGTCCGAAGACGTCTCCGTGGTCATGTGGCCGGCATGACTAAGCGCCAAGGCCCACGGAAGGCTGTTACCTTCCCACCAAAGCGGTACCTGTTTATCTACTTGCAGGTTCTTGCTTTCGAACTGCTAGGCTGGCGGGAGCTGGGACCAGAGATGGGAGCTCACTCCGTCAGGCGGCACTTGGGTCTTGAACTGCTGTGCCTACTGACCTTCCGGTCTGCAGCTAAGCTTCTTAACCACTGAACCACCATGACCCCATTGTAGCAAGTGCTAAAAACATGGGTCCTTCTTCCCTGGAGGTCACTGCGGCCGCAAAAACTTGTACTTCAATAAATCTGTTAGCCTAAGACTCTCTCTGTGTGTTTTGTCACAACAAATGAATATGGCTACTACACAGGAATGTAAGGTAACATGTTAAGGATGACAGGGTCAAAGGATTTGGGATCAGAACCTGCTGGCTGGCTCTGTCATGTTTTTCACTGAGAATAGTAAGAATGCCTTCTGTCCTCTAGGACTTGATGCATTTGGCTTTACTAGCTTGCAACAAGAACAAAGAGAGACTTTGTCAAACTGTTGTGTCTCTAATCTGAGGCAGCTGCACTGTGTTGCAGTCTTTTGTCTGTTGTCCAACTTGAACAGTTTCTTTTCTGGAAGATTGTCTTGTGCTTTTGTGTTACATCTGCTGCCTTTATTTCCAGCTCTCTGAAACTTCCATGTTGGGAGCCTGTTCAAAGTAATGTGATCTTCAGAAGTGCTTGTGAAGGAGATGGTTCTGCCTCTCCCTACGACCATCCAGTGGAGCTGACAGAATGTTAGTGAGAGAAATGGTTCAAAAGAGCAGTTAAGGGAGTGGAAGATAGCAGTGAGGTAGACGAGAGTGTGTCTGGCTGAGTGAAGCTATGGAGAAGAGCTGCTTAAAGCTGACTGAAAAAAAGACTGATGGTGGTCACACGTGGGAGATAAAGCGGGGGGGGGGGTGAGGCTATTTCCTCCAGAGGAAATTGACCAACAGTTGCATGATCACATAGTCCTTTGAAGCTGTGGGTGCAGGCTGCCACTGCATGATCAGATGCAACCGCGGGTGAATCGGTGTTGGGGTTTTTTTGCCGTTTGTTTCTGATTCTCTTAAATGGGGGATCGATGAATCACATCTCTGCACTGAGGGCTTCCTATGGGAGTATATGATCATGTGCATATTGAGAAGGGGGGGGAAAGAATGGTACAGAGTCGGGATGGCCTGATCAGATCATCCCGACGCCATGAGAGCGCGCTGGAGCGATCCGTCTGTGGCCCGTAGCACCCTGTTTGCTACCGGACTTTCCCCAGTGTCTTTTAACTCTGCTTCTGCGACGGAGCAAAACGGTTGCCGACAGCTGCGGGGCGCTTCCCAGATGTTTGCGTCTGATCGCGCCCTTTAAATCCACCCAGCATTTGCCCCTATGGCAGGGCTAATTGTGCGTGTGATCGCAACCAGTGTGTAACAAAGGATCCCAAATGCTGGAATAGGGAAACAGTTCAAGAGTTCAATGGAAAAGAAACTTTGTAACCTCTATCTGACTTCCTTCAGTATTATGTTCAAACCATGTTAACTCCTTGTTTATCCCTGTGGGCTGGTTGTCTCAGGGAAGGAAACACACACACACAAGCTAAGAACTTGGTCTATATATATATGTATATACCTATATAGAGAGAGACCCTGGCCCCTACCTGGCGGAACTCTCTGCCGAATAACATCCGTGCCCTGTGGGACTTGCCTTTCCACAGAGCATGTAAGGCAGAGATGTTCTGCCAGGTGATTGGTTGAGGACAGTAACTGTTTTTCATCTAGTTTGGCACTCCTCCTTTTCCTGCCTCCCTCCTCAATGAGGTAACATTTCCAGGGATTTTCGCCATCAGGCCAGCTCAGGCTGCTGTCCTATTATTTTATGTGAGATGTATTTTCTGCACTATTTTAAAATTCTGAATTCTTGTAAAACTCTTGTAATTTTATCATTGTTGTAGTAGGATATGAATCAGTAGTGGCAGCAAGTGAATGGAATGGTGATTGAGTCCTGAACCCCAATAGTTATTTGCTGTGTTGAGTGAGGAGCAATGATTAAAGGGGGCTGGGATACCCTATCTGCTGAGGTCTCTGTAAGTGAGAGAGAGGAGAGGAGATGTGAAAAAGTCATGGCTCTCCATATATTTGAAAAGAGGCAAGAAGGGGAGTGGATGTGGGATGGCCTGACTTACCTGTAATCCTGAACCTGCTGGAGAGAGGTTGTGGAGAGTGGTGGGCACTCTGCGTGAGTGGGCGGAAAAAATCTGTCACTGCACTCAGCAAATGGCATTGGTTATGAGATGTTTCAGCATCCCGGAGTTTCTGTCTCTTCTAGTCTTCCTTGTATTATATTCTACAGCAATGAAGATCAAGGAGGACCTCGTGTGGTTAAATGGGCTTTGTTAATTTTGGTAGTAGTACCCAGTTGGAGTAATTTCACTGGATGTAAAAGTCACTGGTTTTTTGCTGGTGCATCAAATCTGATGAAGGCTACAAAATGAGTTTTTGGACCTAGGGAATGCCCTAGGGGATAGGAATTAAGACATGGCTAGGATGGTTTTTCTCCACCTTCTTGAGGAAGATGCAGCTGTTTTCTGTATTTTTACTCTAGAGTCAGGATTATTATACAAGAGTATCCTTACCTTGTCAGCAAATAAAATGAACATTCAGCGAGTACAACATCATATCTGATGAAACAAGTTTTTGAACTTTGTCTTTGACTTATATGGGTTATATGTGTGGATTTAAGTGACTACATATTGAACCTTTTTGTATAATGGTAGATTTTCTCATACATGCATGATGTTTTGTGATCCACTGTGTTCATTCAGGGTCTTTTAGCTGATGATTGTGCTATGCTAACCATATCGAATGACACTGGCATCTCATTGTGTATTGCATTGGGACCTAGGCAGATTATGCTGATGCTTTATGGTGTTCTTGGCAGCCCATGTGTCAGCTGTGGAGGTGCACACAGCACAGGAGCTCAGGGTGAAGAATGGGACAGTAGCAAGGCTCCGGTGCACGTTCACATCCTGGGAGGTGATCAGCAGTGCAGCCTCCGTGACCTGGAGCTTCCAAGCACAAGGAGCATCTTCCGCTGTGTCGGTAAGAGATGGTCTTATGCTAGGTTTGAATGGGAACCATCAGCAACAGTGGATTACCACTGCAGTCCTAAATAGAGTTACACCCTTCTCTGTCCATTAAAGTAAATGAGATTCAAAGTGAGTAAGTCTGCTCAGGATTGCACTGTATTTGTAGGCACTCCATGAGACTGTGTGTTCCATACTGACCCACTTCTGCCTTTTTGACTGGTGTCTGTTCACAGCGATCACTTTCTGCCTGCCCTTAAGGATAGTACTTCTACTTAAGGAATCAAAATGTTCCACTGGGGGGGGGGGAAAGGTCTTGTTTAGGTGTATGATATTTTTATTTGAACTAGTGCCACTAATATTAGGCTAGTGATAATGGAGAATAGAGGGGAATGAGAAAATGGTGGTAATATGTAGAAAGCCATGAGAACAAGGTGGTAATAAGTACAAAGCCATGGGAACAGCAAGATCTCTGTGTGTTTTTTTTTTTTGGGGGGGGGTCAGCTGTTGCCCTGACTCTTTTAACTACTCCCAGACTAGGGATACAAAGACCCTATGGTTGCAAACCTTCGGGGGATGTCTGAAGATTTTCTGCAATTACAACTGATCTCCAGGCAACTGAGATCAGTTCACTTGGAGAAAATGGCCACTTTGGAAGGTGGACTCTATGGCCTTATACCACATCAAAGTCCCTCCCCTCCCCTCCCCAAGCCCTGCCCTCCTCAGGCTTCACCCCCCCAAAAAAATCTTCAGGTATTTCCCAACTTGGAGCTGGCAGCCCGAGAAGGCCCAGGAAAAAAAATTGAAAAAATTACGAGTGGAGAAATAGTGTGACTGAAGTCTCTCATGAATAGTCGAGAATACAGCTTGGACAAAGAACAAGGCTCGATGCCGTTCGCTGTTGCTGGGACCGGAACTGGAGCAGGGACCTGCTTACCTGAGGGACCGCCTTTCCCCACATGTACCCCAGCGAGCACTAAGATTGGGCTCCCAAAATTGCCTGGTTCTTCCAGGGCCTAAAGAGGCTAGGTTGGCTACAATGAGGGCCAGGGCCTTTTCGGTGGCGGCCCCTCACTGGTGGAATGAGCTCCCAGAAGACATCAGGGCCCTGAGGGACCTTTTACAGTTCCGCAGGGCCCATAAAATGGAGCTCTTCCACCAGGCTTTTAAGTAGGGTGCCGCCTCGATTTTATGGCCCTGGTTCAATTACCAACAGTACCAACGGCCCCACCAACTGAGGCTTTATAGCCGGGTGGGAGCTTGATGACACCATCCAGTGGATAGTAGATATCAGAAGATCACCATATTTTAATGCAAGTTATGCCTAAACTGTATGATTTTATAGTGATTGATCATTTATTGCCATTGTAATGTATATTTATTATGTTGTTAGCCACCCTGAGCCACCGAATGGCAGGGAGGGTGGGATATAAGTGTAAATAATAAATAAATAGATTTTCTAAATACTCCAAATAGTACTATTTTATATGCTCACTGAAGTAAAAATGATGCATTTTATGTTGTCAAAACAATAAAATAAGTTTAAGTTTAGTAAGAAAGTAAGTACTGTATATGTAACAATATCCCAAATACTTTCCAAGTTTCCCCCCCCCTTGAAAAAATGGGGCTAGAATCTACTTTTTCTAAAAAGTAAAAACCTATATCTGCAAGGAAGGACTAATAGCACACTGCAAGACAAATGCATGAGCAATTAGACTTACAGCTTTCCAGCAAACTGTCTTCCTTGAGTATTGGAAAAGTTCAACAGATGTGGCAATGCAATGGGGAAGAAGAAGGTTTTTAACATTGCATGACCGTTGTTTTCTTGATTGCAGTTCTTCTATTATTCTAATGGGATGGCATATCCTGGGCAACATGTGCCATTTAAGGACAAAATCAGCTGGGCTGGAGACTTGAGCAAGAAAGATGCATCTATCAGTATTGCAGACATCCAGTTTCTGGACTCTGGCACTTATGTCTGTGATGTCAAGAACCCTCCAGACATTGTTGTCACACCAGGAGAAATCAGGCTCGAAGTGTTGGAGAGAGGTACGTAGTCTGACTCCGAACATGACTCTGCTTGTAATGAAATGCCCTGCTGCTGAATGGTTTCAATAAAATTCCTCCACCTAGCAAAACTTCCCTTAAAATGTTGTTGTGGTATCTGTCCAACTGCATTTTATGCAGACTACTTTGTTCATATAATAAAGACTTTTTGGTCAGGTTAAAATTAAATGAAATATCATTACAAAAAACACCCTATTCTCGATTAGGATTCTAATGCTTGGATCCATTGGAGTGTTTTCATACATGGAAGGATGACCGACTGTGTGGGGCCTGATTTTCTTGCCTCCCGCTTCAGCCCCAAATGTCTCCTGAAGTGCTGCTTCCCCAAGGGATTCTCCCAAGAATAGCTTTTTGTGGACCATTTTGGACTGCAGTGGAAAGGGTAAGAGGAGAAAGTCGTACTCTGCAGGTGGGAAGGCGCTGGTGGATCCAAGCTGAAGTCTGGCTACCAAAGTCGAGCTCAGCCGGAAAAGTCCCCCAAAGGCTTCTTTGCATTAGCATTCTCCTTAAGAATTTGCCAACAGGCAACAACTGCTATGGACAGTGGCACCTTGAGTTAAGCTGCTACCATATTTACTCAAAAGGAAAATGACCCTGAATATAAGACTACCCCCCCTAAAAAAGGAGGTTGTACATAAGAACAGATGACCCTGAATTTAAAATGGCCGCTCCTAAAAATGGTAGCACTGTATACAAATTTATATTACACAGTAATCAGCATACAATAAACAATATAGACTAGGGTTGCCAAGTCAATCTTACCTTAAAGCGGGGGGAGTCCAGTCCCCTCCCAGGAGTCTTCAGGCACACGCGCTTTGTGTGCACGCCACAATCACGCCACCTGGAAGTGACATCATCGCATCGGGCACGTTGGGGGTGGGGCCACTATGATTCCAGGGAAAGCCATAGTTTTCCCTCAGGTCATAGAGCGTCCCCCCTGCAACGTGCCCGGTGTGATGCTGGGCTCGTCTGCTGACTGAGGGTGGGGTTCCCCCTGGGGCACCATCTGCCACCGGCGGGTAATGGGGCAATCAAATGGGGGGTTCCCCACATCCCAGGGGGACCTGGCAACCCTAATATAGACTATGGAAGAAAATAATTCTTTTCTCTTTTTGCACCTCTTTGTATTGTTAACTGTTCACAAGTAGTATTCATGATGTTTCAAATTATAAAAGGCAAGAGACTGGCTTTTTTACACATACACCCCCCAAGTGGAATGACTAGGCAAAGTCCCTCATAAATTGACCAACAAGCAGTGCAATCCTGAACACAGTTATTAGGGTTGACAGGCAGTGCCTGGCAACTAGTGGGACAGCTGTAGGTGGGGATATGGGGGGGGGGGCGGCACGACACCAGCTGCAGCCTCACATCACTTCCAGTTAAAAAATGGAAGTGAAATAGGTAGCTCTAGGAATCACTGGAAACTCTGTGGTTTTACCACATTGTTTCTGGCCATTCCTGAACCTACCCTTTGTCACTTGTGGGTTTTTATTTTATTATTTTATTTTATTATTTTAAATGACAGGTTTTTTAAAGGTTTTTTAAAATAATTTATTTTTCTCCCAACACTGCTCAAAGTGGTGGCAGGCACTGGGAACCGGATGGGTGGTAGGAAATATGTCACCTCGATCAGGGGTATGCCAGCCCTAAGTCACACCCTTCTCAGTCCTTCATAATCAACATGCTTAGAAGGGTGTAACTCTCCGTAGAATGCCCTGCTAAACTGCCCCCCCCCTGTCCCAGTTTGCAGTGCTTTCCATAAGCTTAGGAAGGTGCACTTTTCCAACAGAAAGTGTTCTGTCTCCAGTCCACTGAGGCAGTTTAAAATTAACCACTTGCCTTATCCTTTCCAAAATGGCCACAAGCCCATTACAGCTATGAGTTTCTCTCTCCTGGGGGGAAAACAGCCTAACTACTAGGCAACTCCAGCCTGAAGCACAGAAGCCAAAGTGGGTGGAGAATACTATTCTGAGCCAGAAACATGGGTCAGTAGGGGAGCAAATCCACACCTGCTGTTCCCACTGCTTCTTATAATTTGCTGGGCAAGGCGCTGCAGTGTCTAAAGCTAGACAGTGAACTCCTCCACTTGAAAGGCAAATATTGCCTTTCAAGTTGCTGTGCAGATGAAGCAGTGTTGCTTTCATTGCCACTTTTCTCCACCAGGGAATGAATTGGCGTACTTTCTCCAAAGCTCTCCCACTCTCCCTGAATTTGCAGGGAATCTGTATACTAAAGTGGAAGATGACCCCCTCATTTTTTTTTTTAGAAAGCCAGAGAAGGTAAAAAAAAAGTTGTCTTCCTTTTCAGTAAATTGGGCATTTTAAAAAGGTTTTGCAGACAGAAATACCTGGATGACTCTGCCAGATGTTGTATTACGGAGCCAGAGGCTCAGCTCCACAAGGCAGCTGTGCTTTCTTCAGCATTCTACCATTATAAAGCCTGAAAAACTCAATTTGTGATAAAGTGGGGACCCGCAAGACTTGTGGCAAGTGGCAATCCCATCCTCTCCCCCTCACTTGCTGGGCCACCCATTTTCTAGTTTCTGGTCTTCCCTCACTCATCTACCTGCATTGCTGCCATCCCTGTGACTCATGGGTGTGAGTGTGGGTGTGTGGCAGTGGTTGTTTCCACTCCCCCCCCCATCTGCATGCAACATTTCTGGCTCATGCAGCAACTGGGGATGTGGCACCAGTTGCCATTCATCCTCCCCAACCCTCTACCTTCTCCCCCAAATTCCAGGAGTGCCACCACTGCCTCAACCCCAGCTGAGGGACTCATGAAGGGGGAATCCCATCCCCTCACTAATTGGGCTATCCCCCCTGCTGGCTCATGGGCAGTTATATGGAAAAATATTCTATCAGGCAGCCTCAAGAACTTGAGCGATATCTTCTCCTAGATAAGTTATTATGTTTGCCGCAAGGGTTCCGATGGGACCCTAGAAAAATGCTGCTATTTTAAGAGTCTTGTATGCACAAAGAGGATTTATTGCTCCTTATGTCTTGTATGTATATCACTGTCCTTGAAAAAGATTGCATCCGATACGGGTAAATTTCTAGAGTGCCGTGGGAATCAGTGTTTGTGAAACTGAAAAAGTGCTGTTTGAATGTTGAGATTCTTGGGTTTAAGGAGGAGTTCTAAATTAAACCATTCTTTAACTCTCTTTGGCAGAAGAGTCATCTCAGGAGTGGGGGGAGCGTGTGTGTGTCTGTGGCCTGTTCTGCATCTAGCATTTGCTCAGTTGATTTACCAAACCCACAATGGAACAGAATATGACTCAAAATCACATTCAAATACCCTGGGCCAACACCGTACTGACTGCAGAGTCACCCCAGAACGGCCATAAAACTATGCAGACAGTACCATAAAACTGAGAGATCAAAGGAAGTGAAACTAGCATGCAGTGTGGAGGCTACTATAAAATCCGACAATTAAAGAAAGTGAAAGTGGCATGCAATGTTTCCCTTTTGCCAGTCTAAACAATGCCCAATATTAAGGAGTTGATGAAAATCTACCATGTACTTCAAAAGTTACAATGTCTTAAAGGTTCTATTTACATAAATGAGATGGAAGACTGGGCAAGACACACAGGACATGTCCCTCACAGCCAGTGAAGCAGGTGCAGGAGGCAGGAAGTGCTACTAGCCTGTAGCTACAGTGGGGCATTTTGGGGATCCACCCCTTCAAACGTGAAGCACACCCCACAACAGCTGCTGCCCCTGTCCCCTATCCCCCCTTCTCCCCACTCCTTCCCCACCTGTGACATCAAAAGGGCCATCCAGCTGATTGGCAGGAGCACGTGGCCCACTGATCAGCTGGAGGGCCCTTTAAATCTTGCAGCTGCCCCTTTCCCTCCCCTCCTCCAAGATTTAAAGGGCCCTCCAGCTGATCAGTGGTTCCCTTTAAATGCTGTTTTTCTAGCGTGGGCTGCCCACGCCTGATCTCCAAGTGGTGAAATCACTGCTTGGATTTCAAAGAAGGCATGTGGCCACCCCCTCCCCCTCTCCTGCTGCCCCACAAAATTTCTCCATGCCCCAACAACCCAAAATTTCTGGCTATGGGGTATTCAGAGACAGCTTGGGGTGAGAAGATTCCTTTGTTCCACGCTTATGCTTCCTCAGATTTCTCCCCACCTCTTTCC